AATTCCGCTGGTCCGGGAGGTGATGCATTACTAACCGCTATAGATGCGTGCGGGCCGACCTACCAGTCGCTACGCGTTGAATTATTTCCCAAACAAGGAATCTTCTTCTTCTCAACCCAATGGCGGTGGAAGCCAACTCCGTACGGCGCCAGCCAGGACGAGCTCTAGTGCCCCATCGTCGGTCCGCATCATGTCGTGGATCAGTTTAATACTTTTGGTAATAATTTGTGCAATGACAATAGATAATGTAAGATTCCCATTATGTAGAGTCTAGAAGACCAGGAAAACGTATGATGGCTTCACAGGACAATTGAGCTTCATATATGGATAGGATAAGCTAAGGGCGTCCATTGGCCCATTGTTTTTGGTTTAGAGAGGAGAATGAAGATAGGATAGGAGGCGTGCTAGCTATCTGGCATTGAGCGCCTCATATTGGCAGTGCGGGAGAAAGAGGCCTACATGGAAAAACTTTACCGATCAAATAGTAGGGCTACGGGACGCTGGATAAAGACGGGCCGCTAGAGATGTCTCGGGGCATTATTCTGAAACATAACAGTGTATTTTACGGCGGAGCGACTGAACCCGACCGTAGCCATGTAGCTACATAGGCTAGTGTCGAAATATCCTGCAGCAGCAGCACGTGGGACTGGGACCGAACCCTGAGGGATAGGCTCGTTCTATGCGAACTATACACAGTGAGCATCAGTTGATCCGCCTGGCTGGAGCGGGCAACACCGCCTGCCTTCCGGCCTCTGAGGAGTCGGGGACTTGCTAGGCGGTGGGCATTCGAGCCCTGGGAGAGGAACCTGGCAGCGGCACCCGGCGTGTCGGGCGCCGCGCCCACAGGAAAACAACTGCATCCGCCGCGCAAGTCACAGTCGCGTGATGTTTCCCGGCGCTGGCGCCTCCGCGTCGCCGTTTCGCGAAGCGCCTGCCGGAAAGCGTAGGCTGTCGGTCAGAGAGGGCGCGGCCGGGCGGCGCGTGCCGTTGGTGAGCCGAGTGCAGGCGGGACGCGAACGGGGCGGGGCGGTTAAGGACGGGTGGGCGAGCTAGGGCGTGGAGGGGAGCGACGCGGGACGGGAACGATTGCGCGAGACGAGACGGGCGTACGGGACGACGCCGAGCACGAGACGAGGTGGGGCAAGCATGGTGCTCGACGATGAGCGGGCCACCCGCCGCAAAGCGCTGGCGATCGCGCCCGGCCGGCCGAGCGCCACCTTGGCGCGGAGCGGTGAGCACGTTGAGACGGGGGGGGGGGGGGGGCGCGCCCCTGGAGGCCGGAGCGGGTTCCGCGGGTCACCTGCAACGCCAACAAACCCTTTCGTCTCAGGGAGACCAACAATTAAAAACAAGCAGCTGCCGCTTGCAGCACAGATATTCAAGGGACCCCAGCTCGTTTTCGAACTGAACCGAAATGGTTACAATCATTTTTCTCGAAGTCATCTTTTTTTTTTTTTTTTTTTTTTTTTCCTCCACGCCCTACCTCGCCCCACCCCGTCCTAAACCGCCCCGCCCCGTTCCGTCCCGCTGCACTCGCTCACCCAACGCACGCGCCCGCCGGCCGTCGTACGCTTCGGCGGCGGCTTCGCGAAGCGCGACGCGGAGGCGCCAGCCGCCGGAAAGTGAACCTGGGCGGATGCAGGGCGCGCCCGACACGCCGGGCCGCTGCCAGCGCTCTCCAGGCTCAGCAGAGCAGATGCCGAGAGAGGTGGCTCAGAGCATCAACTGATGTCACTATAGTGCCTAGAGATATCCTAGGGTTCGAGTCCCGACGGTGGCAGGATTTTCGACACTAGCTGTAGCTACATGGCTAGGTCGGGTTCAGTCGCTGTCAGAAGGAGAATTCTAGCGGCCGGCTGCTCTTATCGGAAGTTTTCCATGGTTTCTCCGATCCATATGAGGCGAATGCCAGAGCAGCACCCTAACAAACGGGCCATGGACAGCTTGCTTATCCTATCCTATAGCCATGTCCTGTCTTCAACCCTTACATACTTGCATGCGCTACACTACCACACATGTCGGGAGACGATGGGGAGCATAGAGCTCGTCCTGGCTGGCGCGGTGCCGCCATTGGTGAGAGATTCCTTGTTTGGGAAAATCCCGCTAGCCGACGGTAGGTCGGCGCCGCATCTATAGCGGAGTAAGATCACCTCCCGGACCAGCGGATAGACCAAATGGGAGGTTTGACATCGCATGACCCTTGGTTGCAATGGCAAAGACTTCCTTTCTAGAGGAGAGTATGGCGAATGAGTGGAATCAGAAGATCCATAATATCTGAACTGCAGATCATTTTTATTATACGTGACGACGCGTTTGCACGAAATGTCCGATCCAGTTGCACTGCTCGTAGAAAGGTCCAAGAACACCGAGAGCAGAGTTGTCAGCTAGCGAAGACTCATCAGCAGAGAGAGAGAGAGAGATAGTAACGACAACGCCAGTCGACTAACAGGGTGATTAATTTTGAAACATACATAGTAACAAAACAAACTAATAAACCTGCAAACTCATGGGAAGTAATTATGATAATTATCAACGTTATGCACCACGCAGAAATACCAACTATTACGGTTCTCCTGCAAAGGTTACGGAATTTGCCTCGCTGTTATGGCATTAGGGTCAAAGTTAGTGTTTTCTGATAATCTCCATAATGAAACCACCAAGAGTTTTAGAAGAGAAAGTTTTTTGTGCTTTGTACTCAATCAAAGTTAGTATTTTTTTCTTTAAATGAATGGTGCCTAGTTGTATTATCGTCTTCTTTCGTTAACACGTTTTATACTATAAACTTCAAAGCACTGCAACCCGATGTAGGCCAGGGCCGCCTTCACGATCTGCCTTCATTCCTCTCTTCTCTCAGTCTTCTCCCACCATATTTATAGTACAAACAATAAGTATTAATATGATCTTAAAATTAATACAATTAACGGTTTTCTGCCGTCATTTGTTCCGCCGGGAGGGATTGCCATTTTAATCCCGGGAGGAATAAAGGCACGTTTTACATAGGAAAAGGTGAAGTTAAATATAAACGAATTAAAAACTTGTGTTGTCTGAAATTTTAAAGGGACGTGTTCTTAAGAGAAATGATAAAAAACATAGGCTTTAAAAATCGATATTGAATCCGTTGATGATTTTATAATAACATGACCGCCGCATTCCTAGTCCACCGTTGTGATGTTGCAGCGGGTGCGACCTGAACAGCCCGCGGCGCGCGGGCCCCGCGGGGGCGTCGGAGGGCGCGGCGGGCGCGGAGCGCGCGGGCCCGCTGCACCTGTGCTGCCAGTGGGGGCTGGAGGAGGCGGCGCGCACGCTGGTGGAGCACGGCGCCGACGTGAACCAGCGCGACGCGGACGGGCGCACGCCGCTGCACGCGGCGGTGCGCGCGCACCACGCCGCCATCATCTCGCTGCTGCTGTGCCACCCGGGCCTGGACCTGGCGGTGCGCGACCGCGCGGGCCTCACGCCCTTCGCCACTGCGCTCACCGTGCGCAACCCGCGCGCCGCCCAGGCCATCCTCGACCGCCTGCCCTCGGCCGCCGAGCAGGTACCCATTGGGCGATTCTTAGAGGGTTTTCGGTGCTGCACGGGTGGCGCTGAGCAGCGAGGAGAAAGATACATTGAATACATGGCGTTGAAGTGCTTGTTAGGAGTGTATGAGCTAGAAAGAAAGTGGTTACAGCTGAACATCTGTTTACGTCCTGTAATACCAAATGGTCCCCGATACCTGATGGTGCTACAATGATACCGGTTAGTTCAGGTTATAGTGCGACTTTCTTAACTGTGCTCCCGTGCCCCGTCTTCACATTGGCATTATGGCACTGCATTTCGCGTCATTCTCGGTCGTGCCGCTAGATGCCGCGACCGTATTAAGCAGTGGTTGATACAGTCGCGATCATGCGACCTCTAGCGGCACGACCGAAAAAGACATGAAATGCACTAATAATGCCAATGTGAAGACAGGATTCGGGCGCACAGTTAAAAAAATTCCACTATATGTTATTGTACTTTCCAGGTTTCCCGACGTAGTCCATAAAAGGGCACAAAGGGTCGGGTTTTGTGTTTCATTGTTATGGTGCGCAACTCGCACGCCGCCCAGACCATCCTCGACCACCGCCGAGCAGGTATACTCTTGGCACAACCCCTAAGTTGCTGCTTTACAACTTCATTGTAAACATACATTTTAACTTATTACAGTTCCCCTATTCGACCACTCCCTAGAAGTTTACATGAAAAAGTATCGATCCAAATACTAGTTAAATTTTTTTTGTTACAAACTTACATTTAGTAATTGACCTTCTGATGAATAATGATGTTAACGATGTCGGAAAGAGATAATACAATAAATCACAATGTTTCACGAAAGTACTCGTAGCTGCAATAAAATTATCAAAAGCACGTGAATGTCTTGATTTCTTCCTAGGAATATCCTAGAAAAAGCTGATAAGAACTGTGCCAAACGATTTGTCGTGTCGAGAGGAATTGAATGACCTATTGATTCTCTGTTGGTGTCTTAAATAACAAAAAAATATTCGTAAACACATTAAAACATTCTAGAGAAGATTTTCGAATTTTGTGGATGGGTCTGGAACGTTGATAGTTGCCCGGTGGCGCATTGAAAGATACCTCATTTGTCTTGAAGCGGCGTTAGGAGCCGAATCCAAACTCTTGTCATGAAGAGAATAAATTTTGTATTGCAAAGGGGAAAATGGATCATTACTTTAGAGTGAAATTATGTCTGGAACGCATTATTGCTCGTGTCATGGTTTCTCACGAGCAGCTACTTGTGAGACATGCGTGTGCGGCAGGTGGACGGCAAGGGACGCAACTTCCTACACACGGCGATCGTGCGCGGCGACGTGGAGAGCGTGCTGTTCCTGCTGGCGCTGCAGGTGGACGTGAACTCTCGCGTGCAGGACGCCGAGCAGACGCCGCCGCTCCTGCTGGCCGCAGCCGAGGGCGACGAGATGCTCGTCCGCAGCCTCATCCTCGCGGGAGCAAGGGTCAGTGTTATAGCGTCAGAAAGGAAAGTGACCCGTCGCGACCGGGGACAGTGGCGTGTCGCACCGGGCTGCAAACCCCGGCCTTGGGGAAAAGCCTTCCGCTTCCAGCTTTCCACCCATCACTGCAAATTCACCCGTTCCGTCCGGAGTAAGCTTTACCTATCCAGTTCCATCGTCTGTCCAACGTGACCGACCCGTCCCGTCCCATCCCATCCCATCCCATCCCATTCCATTCCATTCCATTCCCTCCACTCCCATTCCATTCCCTCCACTCCCATCCCATTTCATCCCGTCCAATCAGTTCTGCCCGATCCTTGTGAACCCCTTCCGTCTCAATTTTCATGCTGACCCAGACCCTCGGTATCCCATCCTACTCCACCCCACGTCACCCTACCCGCCCCTATCCTATCCTTATCCACCCCACCCTATCCTATGCTATCCCACCCCATCCCATCCGAATCGAGTCTACATGACCTGACGTAACCCAACCCAACCCCACTTCACCCCAAATGAACAACAATCCACCCCAACTCCGGTAGTTGGTGAAAGGAGCGTAGCGAAATTTGCGTGGTCAGACGGAAGAGCAGGCCTAATGGCCTGAGTCTCGCCACGTAAAATAAGGCATAATTCAATTCAATTTCAATTCAATTCAACTCCACCTGCGTCACTCTTACCCACCAAAACCCTCCCATTCCGAACTCCATTCCACATCACACCACACGCCTCCACTGCCCTCCAATCCAGTTGTCCCAGTGCAATTTATTCCTTAATTTTAGAACTTCAAATGATGCGATGCACTTTTTTAAAATATGCAGTTAATAAGTAACGCGGAGAAAACGTTTCGGAATGCTGTGCATTCCCATTCGTTTTATTTCCGAAACTTCGTCTGTGGGGTATCTGAACCACCATTTCCGCCTTCGGTGGGTGTGCAGGTGAACGACGCGGACGCGCGGCGGCGCACGGCGCTGCACGTGGCGGCGGCGGCGGGCCACGCTCACGTGGTGTCGGCGCTGCTTCAGAACGGCGCGGAGTGCGACGCCGCGGACGCCGACGGCGAGGGCGCGCTGCACGCGGCGGCGCGCGCGGGCCAGCTGGCGGCGGCGCGCGCGCCTGCTCACCGAGTCGCCAGGCCGACGCCGAGGCCGTGACCTGCGCGGGCCGCACGCGCTGCACGCGCTCGCCCGCGCCGCCCGCGACAACGCCGCCGGCCATCGCCGACCTCTTCCTCGAGTGCATGCCCAAGTACCCGCTCGAGCCGCCCGACTGACGGCAACACCGGTGAGTGCGCCGCCGCGCCGCGGGCATCAGGTCAAGTAACCACCAACTTGACACCACTGCGCGGTCGCCCACAAATCACTTGGCGCCAGCAACGACGCTTTCAGCACTAACACCACGACCACCATGCACAAAACACCTCCACCACCACTACCACTCCATCAATCCTAACACCATGCCACGACCACCATCAACTAAATCACTCACAACTCCAACGCAACTTACATACGCGTCCAGCTCATACATACTACCATCACCAATCCACAACAATGAATATCAATGCTACCACAGCATCACGATCACCTCAGCCCTTACAAGCCTACATAAACTCTTCTAACTACCATAGACATAACTCATGCTACTACTATATAAAGCCCAAGGTTTGAATCTCCCATTTGGGAGGAGCTTTATTTAGCCGGCTTCCCCCACAGCTACTAATAGTGGCAGAAATTCTTCGTCTTCTGGCAGCAACTCCAATTCGTCGCCTCCAGCAAAGGTAACCAATGTCACTGCATGCCTTCGCTGTCCCTTTGGTCATTATCGTCCTCAGAGGAATGTCTCATAGAAGAAAAATAACTTTTTGTCCATATCTTCGTCACTGGCCATGCCTGCTTTCATACTCTCTTCTTCGACTTTCTTCGCGTGTTCACAAACACTCCTGCAACTCGATAGAGCAATATTCAGAAAATTAATAATAGGCCATTTCTTTTCTTTAACTCTCAGAGGGATACGGATATTTCGTTTAGACAAACACGATCTAATGTAACTAATTCGAATGGGATGAGTTGGAGTGGTAAAAAGGGAAAGATTGATGTTTGAGTCCTATTACCTGCGAAAGCCTATCTTAGAATCAAATTAGCGACGCCTGTGACACTTTACTTGAATTTAGGCCTACGCCGGTGGCGTAACGTTTGGGCCTGCAAGGCGGGTGGGCCCAGGTAAAAGAGGGCTTATTTTTAGGCTAAAGTTTGCCGTTTTAAGAATTGGGCGAGCGTGGAGGGTCTTGGGAAATTGTCTTTTTAGTAATTAAGGATGAAGTTTTTGCGAAGGACCCCGCACTTCGTTACGTTATTGACCGCATGCTATGATACACCAACTGCGTAGAACGCAAAAAACGAAAGAGATACGACTGAGGAACCAGGAAGCGGTGGCATCGATATATATGTTAGCTTTTATTGGAACCATAATATACTAAGAAGTGATCATTTGTGCATAGACCGCTGAAATTGTTTTTCATTTGGATAGCTGAAGTTTTACTTGTGGGCGTTGGACCGCAGCGTACAACAGCCATCAATATGAATTAGCCCCCCCCCGTCCTGAGAGTGAGAGTCGAGACGAGAGTGGTTATATTTTCAGGGTAAATAGCAATGATGATGAGAGTCACCCCTCCTGTGCATATGCATCCGAAGGGAGATTACAAAGGTTTTGTCTACTAACCACACCAAAACAACTACAAAAACAACCTCAAAAGAACACGCTGCACAACAGCAACCGCACTACGCCACCATCACCAACTCCACTACCACACCACCACCACGACCACCAACACCAACAACAACAACACAAAACACAAACAACAACTGCTTGCCAATCTCCAACACCATTCTAGACCAATATCTGCAAACTAACTACAATCTTAAACAGTTACTTCCTTGACATCATCTCCTTTGATTAGCCTCCTACCAACACCGCACTGCCGCCATCCCCCGCACTGCCGCATCACCCGCAATTGCGCCATCATCCCGCAACTGCCGCCATCACCCGCATGCCGCCATCACCCGCCTGCGTGCCATCACCGCACTGCGCATCACCCGCAACTGCCGCCATCAACCCACACTGCCGCCATCACCCGCACTGCGCCATCACCCGCAAGCTGCCGCATCACCCGCACTGGCCGCATCACGCCGCATGCCGCCATGCACCCGCACTTGCCGCCATCACCCGCACTGCCGCATCACCCGCACTGGCCGCCATCACCGCGCACTGCCGCCTCACTCCGCACTGCCGCCATCACCCGCAACTGCCAGCATCACCGCACTGCCGCCATCACCTCGCACTGGCCGCCATGCACCCGCACTGCCGCATCACCCGCACTGCCGCCATCACCCGCACTGCCGCCATCACCCGCACTGCCTGCCATCAACCCGCTACTGCCGCATCAACCCGCCTGCCGCCATCACCCGCAACTGCCGCCATCCCCCCGCCTGTCGCCATCACCCGCACTGCCGGCATCACCTCACTGCGCATCACCCCCCACTGCCGCCATCACCCCACTGCCGCCATCACCCCACTGCCGCCATCAACCCCCACTGGGCCGCATCACCCCACTGCCGCCATCACCCCACTTGCGCCAATCACCACCACTAGCCGCCATCACCACCACTGCCGCCATCACCACCACTGCCGCCATCACCACCACTGCCGCCATCACCACCACTACCAAAAACTACTGATTGCAACTCTCCAGCGCCACTTGTTCCATTATTATCTGCAACTAACTACAATCTAACAAAAGTTACTTCCTTGACCGTCAACTTCTTCAACCACCACACCAGGTTTTTTATAGAAATTTGAGCTGGGATAAGATTAGAAAATTTATGGGTGTAGTAAATGTTTAGGTCTAAATGGTCTTCAACCAAAACATATCATGTGGCACCTGCCAGAAACGAATTTAAAGGTTATCTTCTCTGAATAGTTGTTTCCTGATCACTTGCAGATCATACCATAGTTATACGCCCAAATACAGGCCACAGACCGCATACAATACTTCCCTCCCTGACCCATCCCTATTTCCCATTCTTAATGTCAAGCTATGGACTGATCTCCCATGCTCAAATGGCCCATCCCCACATTTCTAGAAGAAATCTCCATATATTGTCTGATAAGGGCCAAGGTCAAAATGTCAGTGATGTTGACACTATTACTGATGTTTTTAACATTTCTTTGCCCTCGCATATCTAAGTTTATGTATGTTTTTTATATCTGCCAACATCTTTTATGCAAAAATTTGCAGATTTCTTTTATACTTCAATGCATCAGAAATGTTGACATTTGTTGATGTGTTATCTGCTTCCTCCTCTGAATTGGCTTCCTGATCCTTATTGTCATTATTCATTTTCTGTCTGGTTGTCACAATAAGTTCTGTGATAAAAACAGCTTGCTGATATGCTGGTATATTATTATCGCCGTTGATGTACTCTGTAGTAGCATCTATATCAAACCCTCACTTTGAACATGGATCTGATATAGCATGCACATTTGTTTCAGTTTCATTGAAATCGTCTCCTTCAGCATTAGGGACAAAATTACTTACTAAAACGTTTAATAACCGTTTCCTCTTTTATTTTCTGTAGCCAAATGAATCCAGTTCACAGCATCTAACCCTGAAATTGATTTTTCCATCTTAGAGTAGCTGCTTGTACCTTTCATTTTAGCATATACTGCCTCTGGAACCAATCTTCGATGATGACTTTCGAACGTATAGATCACTCCTTGAACCATGGGCTGTGTGACGCTGGTAGTGTTCGGCAGACCCCATTCCAATCTCACATTAGACAAATGAATGTGTGGGTGGCATGTTGCATTATCAAGAAGTAGCACTTGACGGTTTTGTTTTTTGATGTCTGCATTGCAAATCTTGAGACATTCCTCCATTAATGCAGCAGCCATCCAGGTCTTCTTGTTTGATCTCCAAACTACTGGCATTTTATTTGTATAAAGATGTCTGAAGCAACGGGGTCTAGCTGATTTGCCCATCAAAATATGTTTTTCCAATATACCTGCCATATTGCCATACAGTACAAATCAGACGTTCTTTAGATATCTTACCGCTCACACATTTTTCCCTGCACAGGGAGAGTGACTTTGTAGGGAGTGCCTTAAAAAAACAAATCAGTTTCATCGCTTTCAATACATTTTCTGGTTTGAATCCTTTCATTTATTCTTTTAGCTTTTCCTATCACTTGGAAAGTAGTCACATTTCAATAACTCGCTTCTCCACACGATTTTGTACCGGTTTCTGAAACTTTCTAGCCAACCATTCGAAGCTTTAAATTCCGATTACTTGAATTTTTGTGCCAGTTGAATTGCTTGGCTCAGCCTAATGAATCCTGAAATTGGCAAGTTTTTCGAACTAACAAACCAGTCAAAAAAAATTCATTCAGTTCTTCAATTTCTGTCGTTTTTCGTTTTCGCTTGACATTACCATTGTTGTCCCCAAACCAATCACTCATGATGCGTTCCTTATTTTTTTAATTGTCACAAATTTGAGTTTTACCGCAACATTATTTCCTTTACACACTGTTTCTCTTTTAATGTAATTCAATCACTTTCACTTTATCAGTTAATGTGAGTGCTGCATTTTCCGCGACATAGTTCGTGAGATACACTACTATGCTCTATTGTTCTCTGCCGCCACTTAATGACTCGAACGCGACTGTCTTACGATATTTGAACAACTTACCCCGAAATTCCAGAATGCTTATAGCTGAGGAGTGAAGGAAGAGCCAAGGAGTGAGAACGAAGCAGAGCAAAAATAGGGTGGAGGGATGAATCGTCAGCGTCTCTAGGTACAGAAATCAATCCCATTCGCGGCATTCTCATGTACTTCGAAAGAGAGTGTGTGAAAGAGGGGTAGTGTGAATCTAGCCTTCAATCAGCATAATTTTCCGTTTTGGTCAGTGAATAATAGACAGTGACAGGGGGTTTCCGTTTCCATGTTGGACAATTTCCGTTTCATTCAGGAAATAACAAGTTAATGCATATACTTTTCCTTATTGAAGCCGAAAATATTTTCCGACTTGGACAGGTTTCAGTTCTATTCAGGTTCCGTCTTCAACAGGTTTCACTGTTTATAATTGAAATTTTAGTGCCTAAAGCATCAGCAATATTGCATTACACCAACGTACTTTTTATACAGATGGTTTTGTTGAGATAATTTTAACCAAAATTATTTATAATTTTTAATGTGAATTAGAATAATTTTCAATCAACAAAATATATCCTGCACCAAATGCTAAAGATTGGTTAAAAATATGTATGTATACTTAATGTCAATTTCTTTCATAGCTCTTCTGCTGGCCTACATGAAAGGGAATGGCAACCTGTGTCGTACCCTTGTGAAGGCAGGTGCATGTCTTGGATGCATGAACAAGGATGGCATCACAATTTTCAACTATCAAGTAGCTACTAAACAGTTGCTTTATAGGTAAGTCATTTTTCATATGGCAGTGCTAGTAAGTATTAGAAAATATTTTGAAAAAGAAACAGAATTTATGTTAAGAATTATTACTGCCTAACTGATCATAGTGAGGGAGTATGGTTATCCCTTTAAGTTCTCCCTTTTTGGGAGTGGTTGACCATAGAGGTGTGCGATTGCAAGAATGGTCATCAGTGATAGGTTATAGATAGGATGGTAGTTCAGATGTGATTCATAGTAGTATGAAATCCAGACATGCCACGACCACCTAGTGAAAATATCTATACCTGACATGCAATGCATCTGCAGCCTTTTGGCTCTGTGTATTTAACTGCTGCTCCAAGATGTTTGCTCTCAAGGCAGGTGAAGATAATACTATTGGTATACAATTGAACTTCACCAAGTTTATATTCAATGTTTTACGTAATTTACATAAATAACTTTCATTTTAATTTCTCACCTACTTATTTACAATAGGCAATATTTGTAATACTGTGGGTAAAAACAGTGATTTTTGCACAGAGCAAATTGTATTACCATGTTACTGGAAAACTGAATAAATCTTGTACCAATAAGTATTAAATTACTTGCTTTAACATTTGTACTCAAAATCCATGTTTTCTGACTCCTCAATACTGAAAAATTGGCTAATGACAAAACGTCACCTTGACGGCTTCGCTACCAATAAAGTTATTTATTTATTTAGTTTGTTTCTACATCTGCCTTTCCGCTACCCTAGAGAATAAACTGTTTAGACTATTTTGCCAAAACTGATATTCCCTAATCGACCTGGACCAACCTAAAGCCCAGGGAAGTTGAAACAAATATTTTGATTTTAGGGGTACTTTACATAAAGTCGTAATAGTTTCAACATTTTCTCAAAAATAGCTACAGACTTTTGTTTAAATTTGTAACTCGAATAGAGCAAAAAATGCTTAAAAATGCTGCAGGTTGCAGTTTTCTTGTACTCTAAATTTTCAAAAATTTAATTTAATTGCTTTTCATAAAGAGATGAAAGCACGCTTATAAAAATGGTACAGAGCGCATTTTCAGCGAACTCTCCATTTTGAAAATGCAAAAGTACTATATTGATGATAGAGATTTTACTTCCTCGACTTCTTCGCTAGAAGAAAGTATTGTAATTGTGGGACAGAAGAGCTCTTATTCGCCGGCTCTGTTAATGAAAAAGTAGATAAATCTTGGTCTTATATATAGTAAATTACTACCTGTAACACGGGTTCGGGGGAGGGAGGGGAGTCAGTACCGACCTCTGGGAGTCAATAAAATTTTAAGGTGGTCACATGATATCATTCATTACGCATATATTTTCTTCCTAACTTCAATAAAGTTGAATGTACCATTTTATTGAATGTAGGCGTTGTATCATTAACATTAAGTAAATAAAGCAACCTTATCATATCTCTCTCCCATCCATATCTCATTCAACAATGAAATTCTCAGAATAACTTCTCAAATATCCATTGCTGTTCTGTTTAACAATGTTGCCTATTAAGTTCGTACAATTTATGGTACTGAAAATTTTTCAGTTTTTCTTTTGTATTTCATGTAAATTATATTTTTAAGAGAGTAAATCTAATTGCCTAATTTCAATTGGGTTTGCGGATATCTTCAAAGAAAATACTTTTAAAATATAAATACGTAATATAATACTTTCCTTGCAATATGGACAAAAAATATAAATTTTCAGAATGGTTTCTGATAACAAAATTTCTAAAAGATTAATTTGTTAACTTCTAACAAAGAAATATGAGACAATATACAAATTCAAATTTATTTAGCATACAACAGCCTCCAAGCGCCTCTCAAATTATGTTCAAGAAGCGCGGCAACGTTGAAATGGGCAACTATGTTTGATGCAAGATTACACAAAACATACTCATATTTTCGAAAAATTTACCATAACATTATTTGAAGATCTGTTTTCAATAAATACACTCTTCATTATTTTAAACAAATCATCTTCATAATTGTAGTTGTAGGAAGTCACCAAAAATTTTGAATTTTTGCAAAAAAAAAAAAAAAAAAATCACAATTTTCAAGAAACATGAGATTGTACCATTCTATTAAGCATCCTGAACGCTAACCGACGTCAAAATTTAATAAAAAATTGGTATCTTTTTAAGAAAAAATGTTTAAACAAAATTAAAAATTGCCCATATTTCACGCAAAATTACGCGAAAAGTACTCAAATTTCAATAAATTGTAAATGAACTTATTTCAATTTCTCCTATCTTTAATATTTGAGTTGTAGAAAGACGCCAAAAAATTGTTTTACCGTTTGCAATTTTCGAAAAATCTGGGTTTTTAATAGACATAACAATTAATCAGTGCCTATTACGCTATCCAACAACAAAATATAATCAAACAATTTTGAGCAATTACTTTGAAAATGTCCCAGGGGCTTTATAGTATCCCCCCCCCTCCATTAAAATATCTGCTTCAAATTCAAGGGGCCACGACAGCAGCTATTGAGAAATGTTCCCGCTTCAGTGTTGTTGTCAGACAAGACGGACAGATGTTTTGCTGTCAATCGTTTTTTTCGGCATCAAGAACCCACAAAAATATGGATGATAGCTACACCACATGAAGACCTTTTTTTCTTCATTGAGCATATGGATTTCTGCGCTTTTTCGTTTCCAGGGCCTGGTAGTAAGAGTTTTTAGGCGAAAAAAAAATCAATTTTTACTTTCTCGCACTTAATATCGTAAGAACAGGAAGTATTGTAGTCGTGCGCCGGAATACGGCGAATTTTCGACAACAAAAAAAAAAAAAAAAGTACGGAAAAAGTGGATAAATCCCGATGCAAACTATAGAAAAAAATTCTCTATCACATGATGTAGCCAGAATCTGTTTTGGGGGCCTTTGATACCGAAAAGTCAATTGACGGCAAAACGTCAATGCCTTCCGTGCACAACGCTAGCGCATAAACCGTTCAGCCGATTTGCTCCAAAATGTATATTCCCCAATCGTTCGAGCCGATGACTTTGCGCCTGAGATTTGAAACCAATATTCTAATTTTGGGTAGTACTTTACATGAAGTCCCAGAGACTTTTTCAAATTTTACAACAAAAAATGGCTCCAAACTTTTGTTTAAATTTTGTTGCTGAATGCTGCAAAAAACTTCAAAGAGAATTGTGCAGATCTCATTTTCGTTGACATCCCCAATTTTTCGAAAATTGGAAAAAAGATTTAAAACATCAAAATTGGAGATAGATTTTTGTCTCAAAGTTTTTTGTAAAAAATTAGCTCTTTAAAAAAGGTGTACATTTAAAAAAAAAACTATGCATAATTTACGATTGACATTTACGATCTTTTTCTAAAATTATTCCAAAATTGTGCTTTAAATTTTCTTCACTTTTGTAATAAGAGACGGTAAAAATGGTGTTAGCAACATTTTTGAGTATTGCTCGGTTTTTTCAAAATTTAAAAAAACAAGAAAAAATACACGTACAGAATCTAAGATAGATATTCTTGCTTCAGACAAAGTCTGTTGTACAAAATTAGCTCTTCAGAATAGATCCTGTACAATTGTTTGAAAAAACATGTAGTTTTTGCATATTTTGCGATTGAAATTTACAACAAAATTTTTCAATCCGCTCCTTTTTTTTTTATTTTATTTTTTTTATTTTTATTTTTATTTTTTTTAATTTTCTCCGCTTGTGTAATAAGGAACGGTAAGAAATATGGCGCCAGTCTTTCGGGTATTCGTGTTTTTTTTTTGTTTTTTTTCCCTTTCGTTTCCTTTTAAAAATTGCAAAAAACATTTTAAAACTACAAAATTGTAGATGGATTTTCGCCCTAGACAAAGTCTGTTGTACAGAATAAGCTCTTTAAAAAAGGTCATGTACAATGTTTTGAAAAAATTAGTAGTCTTTGTGTAATTTCTACTTGAAATTATTGAAGTGTATCACACCAAATCCGAGCCACAAAAAAATTGAATTAATTATATGAAAAATAATTAATTTAATTTTAATTATAATTTAATATTGAATACGCCAATATTAATTCAATTTTTACAGTCTCGCTTTCTTACTCAATTTGTGTTCTCAATGTATTGATGTATTTCTTTTTAAGCAATCTGCAAAGTTTAAATGAAATATTGCAACTACCTAACACCAATATTTGAGAAGCTAATTGTTGTAGAATGTCGAGATGTTGGTGGTGATAAGATACAGCTGTTTTATTAAGTCCAGCTGGTGGTGGCGTAACTCCTAGACCTAGAGCCAGTACTTCTGTTTGTGATAAATTTTGCAGCAGTTTTTTATAAATTTTTTCTCAGAATGCCCGGTAAGGTATGTTCATTTTTTTCAAGGTATCATTTAATATCATCTAATATTAATTACAAAAAAGTTATTGCTTATTGAATAAAAATAAAAACCATGAAACCCTATCGGAACAGTTATCTTATGACGAAAGGCCACTCAGAAGTGGGCAGCCAAAATTTTCGTAATTATTTTGATGTCTTGCTTATATTCTAATTACTGTATTGATATTATTAGCCTAGCAAATGCACATAGTTTTGACTTCGCTGTGCTGGCAACATTGCGTTATTCGCTTCTTGGTTGAATTGCATGTTTTTTAAAACTGGCTGAGGTGTTAATAATGCAGGAAATGCAATATTTCAGTTTTATGTATCTGTTTCCAATAATGTGAGAAAGTATGTGCTGTTGAAGCACCGTTAATTTCCTGCAGAATTACATAACTTTCTCTAAGAGTTTACTGCGTAAACAGTAGCAAGAAAGTAAAATCTGCGCATGATTTCTTGAACTCCTTAAGGTCTTCCTTACCATTTCACTCTACATAGTTGTATGTGGGATAACAGTACCAACAAAACGAGGTGAGCAACATTTGACAATTTGTTCATTTCATTACAAAATATAATGTTAAATACTGTGCCAGATGTGTGAACAAACTGTGGTGTGCCTGTGGCATTTTGTAATTAATCATACACGTTTTCAATTTATACTTTTTAATTTTATATATTTAATTCCTCATTTCTTCAATTCGTACAGCATATATTCAATTTCACGTTTTCATTTGTATTTTTATAATTTATTGTACTATATTTGTAGATTGTATGATTATATCTAAATTGCTTAAAAGATTGTTTGCAATAAAAATATTGACACCTAAGCAACATCTCCTTTCTGAATTTATTACAAGTTATCATCCCCAACAGAAATTTTATTAACCAATATTATTGCCAGGATATATTAATTAAACGATTAGAAAATGTAATAGATTTGAAAAGGGATACAGAATATTAAATTTATTCAACATTTACAATCAAAATAAATTTTCACGACTTGAAATCCTATTAATAAAATATTTATTGCACCGTTTTTTAAATTAATATTGTTTGGCCTGCTGTAGTAACTTTTTTGAGACTACTATTTTATCTTTGAGAGTAAAAACACCCAACACAAGAACTCAATGACTGGCAGTCTCTGAAGTAATGTCCAGAGTTATGTCATACATTGTGCTACATTATCTCCGAGACACTATATATTATAGTTTTATGATCTTTCCCTCCCAGGTTGCTGGATCATCTGTCTCAGGAGCCTCCGTGGGCTGAAGGGGATATTTGCTTAGAGTGTGGAACAAAGTTTGGACTGACAATGAGGAAGCATCATTGGTGAGTGGTCTCAGGGGATGTGATAAAATATTATTCTAAATAGTCCTAATTTTAGGAAGTGAAGCTTTTCATAGAATGTTGAGGTGCTCTTGGGGCTTGTAAAGAACATATTTGAAATTTTAAATGGTGTAAAATACTAATGAAATATTTAATTCAAATTTTGTTTTAGAACACTAGCATAGTATTTGCAAAATAAGATAATTTATGTAATGACGATAAGAGAAAGTTCACGCTATGTAATCCCACTGCTTCACTAGTATTTTTACAAATTATGAAATTAATTTCTTTTCAGTCGTCACTGTGGCCGCATCTTGTGCAGTAAATGTTCAGGTCGAGATGTGCCTATTTTGAAATTCAACTTGAACAAACCTGTACGAGTGTGTGCAGTGTGCTTTGATGTTCTGCAAGTTGGAAGCACATAATTTTGCCACAGGGCACGTATTGTTGGTAGAACATTCATGCAGTATCTCCTTGTAGATTGTAAGTGTTAGGATAAAAGCCCTTATGTTGATGTTAAAAGTTCAATGATTGGGATTGATTCAGTACACGAGACTGCTATTGTCAGTGTATGAAAAAATTGTTGAAAATGCAAAAGTGGGCTTCAAGCTACTTTTGCTCTTGTAAGAATATTTTTGAATAGAATAGAGTTAAGTGTATTTTATATATGTATAATCATTATTCTTGAAATAGATTAGTGTAAATGCCTATATTATACATATTTACAATATGAGAGTAGATATAGATGTACATACATCAGAGTTTCCTTGCATCAGGAATCATTTTGTTTAATGTACACTGCACAAACCATGTGTTTTTTCCATTAATTATTGATTTCATGCGTAAGAAATTGTCAAACAAGGCAGTTTCATCTGAAATATCATATTGAATGTCTTCCCTTATAAAATGTCCCTGTTTGAATTTCCTTTCTAATTTAAAATGTGTTTGTGTTTTGACATATCAAAGCATATGCTGGCTTTAAAAGCCTAAGAAAGAAGGGACCAACTCCTATGACTTTAATGTTTTGTAGCATCTGTAACTTCCTACAAATGATTTGATTGTAATTTTTGTAGAATTAAAAAAATGTATTTTCTTCATTGTGTTTCTCTTCTTTCATCATTTAATAACACTTTACATATCCTATGTTCATATTAAAAATTGTATGGCAATCAAAAACATCTGAGAGATTTGAATAAGGTATGTTCTTTATGTCTTGGAAACAGTAAATTCCCCTACATGCCAATTTCTTGTGCTTTGGATCATATTTATTCATCAAAATATTAGGTGTGATTTTCACTAGCTGACATCACAATATTTTCTAGTGCACATTCTTGTTTAAAAGGAATTCAATACTTTAACCCTTCAAAATGGATTAAGAGGGCATTAATTGATGTCACAGCAGTGCCTCTGACCAGGAGGTCCAAGTTTTGAGTCCTGGCAACTTTTGACACTAGCTGGAGAGCTAGCTCGAGATCTGTTGGAGTGTGGAGAAGGATTCTAGCTGCCGACTGCTCTGAGTTTTCCGTGGTTTCTCCCATCAACACCAAGCAAATCTCATCATCCAGTGGGGAAAGATCACCGCTACCTTCCGAGAAAAGAACATGCACAACACTTTCGGGGCTAATAACTTTAGCAGTTGATGTGCCTGGTATCAATCAAAACAAATCATGGCTCCCCATGTTAATTGGTTAAAAGAACTCTGAAGTAGAAGCAATGGAAAATAATTTGAATTGTATCTTCAAAATTAATCAAATTATGAAATTAAGACACTATCTAGTAACATACTTTGCAAAAGCCATTACAATATTCTGACAATATTTTATGAAGAGCATGTACTAGGAATGAATTCTCCAAATATACACCAGAGAAACATTGATTAAAAGGATTTATATAGCTATTTTCAAGATAAAATCCAAGGATTTTTAATTGTCAAGAACAGGCAAGTGACTTATTTTAGCAAAAACAACACACCTGCAAGGCTAACAACTTAAGATAATTAAGAAGGAATATCGTAAGAATGCATACATGCCTCGCTAATAATTATTCATTTTTTGTTAAAAAGATGAACTTGGGTTTACTCATTCCTAATTATTGAAGAACCATAAATAAAATAATTTAAAAATATGGCATAGACATCAGTGTAGAATATAATAATTAATGACCAAATTTTTAGTTACTAATTATATTGGAAGCTTCAGTTTTTTATCATGTTAGCCAATTGAAAGCATTTCCTTGCTCCTAAATAGATAATCTGCCCCTATTTCCCAATATTTCCTCACAAAAAATACTCCTTTTGAATGCAAACACTTATTTAGAGTGCACATTATATGAACAAACTCTGTTTAATGTTAAATCAGACATTGTTTGTACAAGTCATGCACTTTCTTTTGCTATACTTTGCTCCAAAATAACATGTTTCTATTTTTAATCCCAGAAGAAAGTAAAGGAGAACCAATGTCGATCTGTTTACCATCTCACCTCATTGTGACTGTAAAATGAGCTTTATGCTGAAAACTTCACAAAAATAATGAATTTCATTACTTACATTGACTAATATTGATCTGTTGCATTGGAAAAGCTTAAAAAAGTGTTAGCATAATACCTCTTTGGAAAGAGGACTCTTTCGTGCATACATCAACAAACTAGAAGAGGGACAAATACCTGCTGCTGAACGAGGTTGAATTTTCATGAAAGCAACAAAGTCTAGAATGATTTGGCCTTCAGAAATTGGAACAATGTTTGGCCAAAACTCCAAATATATTAAACATTACAAGTACAGTTGATTTGCCATTAGAGGAAAGGATTCTCTAGAATGATTATAGAGGTTTTTCTGAATGATGTGTTTAATTTTCTTAACATTATATATACAATGTAATTAAACATAATTCCCTTCTTTTCAAAGCACTGAGAACGGTGATATCATTAATGATGGGAATCTGTATTAAAAATGTAGTTGTATGTATCTTACCTGTTTTACACTGTCCATTTCATGTGGATTTGTCATAATATGGTATAAAAGTATGTAATATATTTGAACCTATTAACGTGCACCAATTTTTATTTTTTTGCACCTACACCTATTTTTAATATTTTGCACCTAAATTAGGATAAGTTTGTCCCTAAAAGTCTGGCCTCAAGTAAAAATGAAATATTAATACTCATTAAGCCAATTCAAATAACATCTTCCCTAGTAAAAGTAAACTGGCGAAGAAATGTCAAATAGGATTAAGAAAGCAAATATCAGAGTTATCCAAAAAATTACATGTCAAATTAATAGGGAAATGAATGTAAATGTTTGACTACGTTCTCATTATACTACCATATACTTTCTAACACTTGTCATATCATACAACTGAGTTTTTGTTTCCCTGTCTCGTACCTCAACCACCAGTTCATGGAAGAGATCTTTGTCTCCGAGAAGTTACCTCCCAGTCTTTCAAATGCTTTAAAAAGTGAAAATCAAACCTAGCCAAGTGTGGGTTGAGAGTGCAAAATGTTTCACAAACTTGTGTTTTGTAGCAATGTAAGGTTTAAATGATTGTCATAAAGGAGCTGAATGCTATAGAACAGTCCTAGCTGTAGTTTCTGAATTGCCAGTCCAAATTTTTTCAGCTTTCCTCAATGTATATTAGCATTAATGATGGTTTCACAAGGCATGAAATAAATCAACAATAGTCTATTGTTGCACCTACCAAACTTATTACAGCTTAATACTATTTTGTGAGAGGCAAAAGAGCTCTCACTACTCCATTCCATGAACTGACTGGGATACACAAATTCCTTTCATGATGTCACGTGTGGAAAGAACATGGTGACGCCAAAGTAATGTTTTTGTGTATGGTCTACAATTTTTCATTATATGCCTTGCAGTTCTACAATAGAAACAATTTTCTGCCTGGACCTTGCATAAAAAAAAGCAAGATAATGGGTAAGGAAGTGAAATTCTTCAGAAAAATTGTATTCGACAAGAAGGAATAAAGAAATGGAATGAGAGATTAAGTAAAAAGGACATTGTTGGATACCAAATGAAGTATTTGTTTATGCCATTGATAAGCCTTGTCTTGGAGAAGTTTTTGATGAATAGATATATAAGCGATGTTAATTCCTACATTCAAAACAAAATTATTTTCAGTTTTTAGTAAAACATGAAATTGTTCAAAACATACTTGCAAGAATCATGAAGTAATAAATTTAGAATGAATTGATTAAATTGATTTCTTTTTGGGGAAGAAAATACCAAGTATAAATGAAAAAAAAAAAAAATATACTTGTATGGAAAAAGTTAGTTACTTTTCTCTTTCTTTTTCAATGTTTTCTTCTAGGACAAACAGTGCCAGGCTGAAATATTCTAAGTCAACAGTGTTCAGCCAACTACGACATTATTACTTTTTGTGTGTTAATAATCCCAATCGGAAATATTGCCATCACAACACAATAACGAGTTAGATCAACATAAATCTTATCTATTGGCAGTTCATTTTGGCAAGTCTAGACAGCATACTCAACAACAGAAACAGCAGCTGTGACCACAAAACCACCATGAAATCTTAAATCTCAAAGCTTTCCACATGTTGATAAAAATGTACTGAAATTGTAGCGATGAAACTGCTCCATCCAAATGCATAGGAGTATTTCCTGAACTTCTTTCCTAGCCATCATTGGTTACTTTAAAAAAATGTCTAATTTTCCATCAGAAAAACAGCAAGTAAAAAGGAATTTCGATATCAATGTTTCAAATACAATTCTGTCAAGACAATACACATCAACAATTTAAAAAATTCCACCATAAACAAAAAACACATGTATCGTGTCATTACAAGCTAAGCTCCTTCACAATACTTAAAATATTTTACCTTAGAAAAAAAACTAACAACGTTTTTACTATTTGGATAAAACTTGATAAAAATTGAATCTCAAGTACCCTATATTGTCCAAATTTTTTGCTTACAAATTTATCAGCATCTTAGCAAATGTGTAACAGTAAGTGAATGATAAGACTTGCCCAAGTGTTTTGTATTCCAGAGAAAAAAAAATCTAATTTATACAGAGGAAGTGTGCGATTAGAATGAACTCTTACATCCTTCAAAAAATTCTGTGCTACCAAGTGCAGTTTATCTACATTAATTTTTATTTGTACATTTTTACAACAAAACAAGGAATAATAGATTTTCTACATGAAATGTGTTCAAGAGACACATCTATTTCAATTTCGAAAATAAATCTTTAGTAACGCAATGATCCACTGCATGAAGATAATCAAAAAGTTCTTCAACACATGTTTCTGTAGTCCGACTCCTGGAATTTACTCTATCATTGCAAGTTTCATATTTTTCTCGTAAGGATTGTATATTTTTGTGCTCGTTGCATGCATCCTGAAAAAAAAATGTATAAATGCTACATTAAAACATAATCATACCCCTTCGCTAGACGTTACTTATTTCAATACTTTTGATTTCTATCATTATTTAATTGAATATTGTCACAAAACGATCCATTAATGTATTTTCATACTCGAAGCTGTTGTTGAGGATCAACCAATTCCTCCTCTTCCTCGGCATCCTCTGCTTTCACCACGGGAATGACTTTGTCCATGGACATGACTATCTAAAAATGAAATAGGATTGTAGAGCAAATAATTCAATATAAATACTACTAGATATGCAATAAATTACACTTACAGTAGATTAATTACAACGAAATATTCGATTACGTATGAAAAATAAGCCCAGTTCCCAATCCAATATCAATCCTCTGAGAGACGAGCTCGTATGCCTGCGTCCCAAAGCACACTAAAGGCGCTTCACAATTGGCTACTACGGGAGATTCTTCTGAAAATGAACGAATCACATAGCTCGTTTCGTATATAGTACACGGTTAGTCGTATGAAAACCTAAATAAACACACAAATGGTATTAAAATTCCATTGTTTTCATGTTTTTTAATTTCTGACCAAAGGGCAAATTATTGCCTTCAAAACTTGATCTTATGACATTAAAAAAGCATCCAAAAGAAAATTGTGAGCTTAGATATAGTGTAATGGAGTTGACAGAGGTTATGAGCAAAATAATGATGGAGAGGAGGGTATCGTGCTCTTGTTAAAAGGGCTCAATGAAACTCGAAAATATGTATTTAAATACTTTGAATTAATTCTAGACAAACCAGCAACAATTCTTCTGCGGGTAAGTATATAAGTAAGCTGGTAGCGAAATGAATATCCACGCCAAAAGCCTGATAAGTACACCTCAGCGTACTAGTATGTAGAAAAATGAACATCGCGTTTGTAAAACTGTTGTTTACTAATATTTTTATAATATGACAGGGTTGCCATTTATATTTATGTGTATTTAGCGATGTACCAGTTGTAGAAGACAGTGGTTATTGAATGTAAATATGTGATAAGTTGTCTATGTGTAAACCAACACAAGGATTAATTTGTCACTTATTTTTTATTCATATAATGTTTTCAGAATGGAGTGGATTTCTCGTTCAGACAGACTTGTTTTATTTAACTTATTTCATTATTTTTCAGCTATGAATGGTACAATGGAACCAGCACACACTGGAGCGCGTTCTGGTTCACATCACCATCACCATCATAAGCCAAGGAATTACAAGCTTGTGGTCGATCCTTGCTTGGTTAAAGGTGCTTCTAAGCTTTATCGGTATGATGGTAGTGTTCCAAATGACCCAACTTACCCACCTGTTCAAGTTCGTGATCCTAGATCACAACTTACGAGGATATGGACAAGACTTGAACCTCTTGACATTCCAGTTCCAAGATTTAAGGTTTGTTTACATACAAATATATGTTTTGTGCACATTTAATATTGATCTATTTATTCTATAAACTTTTTGATTCCAGATTTGTATTAAAATTGAATGTGTTGTATTATGAAAATACACAAGTAATTTACTATTAGCTTTTGTAACTAATATTTTCAAGAAGTGTATGTTTCTCTGTTGAGGAAGGTGTTAATATATAATGTTATGTAATTTGATTGAATGCAATAACATATATTAGTAAAAGTATCTTCTTGCTGATTACATGAAAATATGTACTGAATAGTATTTTATATTGAAGCAGTTTTTTTATCATTAAGATTATATCACTGTTTTCATTGTTCAGAATTGTGTAAAAATTCTAATACATACTTGATAACAACCACTTTATTGAAATACACTTTTTGAAATAAACTATAATGTAAGAATGATTCATAACTTCAATTGTATTGTTTATTTTATGAAATAGCTTATGAATGAAAGAGTAATAAGTCTCAAAACATTAAAATAGATATTGCAGAGTTAAGAACCTCTTTTGTGTTATAGAAGTACTGGCAATGATTTCTTATTAACAAAGAAACAACTATTTTTCTCTAAGAAAAGGGGTTATTTGCATTAAACATTTAAAAGGAAGTAAGTAATGTATATGAAGGAGAACCATAGTGGACTGATTTGATTAGAAACTAAAGGTTGAGTGGAAATAGTCTGTTGACCAGATGAGGTTATGTTTGTGTTTCAATGTGTTAGATGTTTTGTTTGTTTTGTTTTATAGTTTGATTGGGATTTGTAAACGATGAAATTTGATTGGCAATTGTATGCACATATTATCATATCTTTGTATACTTCATTCAAATAAGTTTTGCAGGATTTCACTTTTTTCTTTTTAATTATTTTCATTATTGTTATTTGGAATTTTTGTGTATAAAGAAAACTACATGCACTTTAGCTATACTTGTATGTTTTTTCACAATTCTGTTAAAAGTTATTGCAAAATTGAACAAAGTTATTTTTATCATAAGTTTTTATTTATAAATATGTTAGTTTTCATGTATAATCTAATGATTTCAGATCGACTCTTATTATGTTGGTGAACCACCTCCATTGGAAGTCACGATTTGTAATCTGAATGACAATATTGACAAATGTTTCCTCTCAGATATGGTAAGTTGATGGAAGAACAGTAAAGAATATTAATGTATTTAAGAACTGTAAATTTGATTTTTGTGGTTGTTGATTTGTTACCTACTGTCATTAATAGGTTCAAAAATTTGGGCCATTTGAAGAACTATTCATATACTATCATCCTGTTACCAATAAACATCTTGGATTAGCACGTGTTGTATTTGAGTCTATCAAATCTGCAAAGAATTGCGTTGAAAAGCTGAACAATACATCTGTAATGGGGAAAGTTCTCAGAGTTTTCTTGGATCCTTTTGGTGAGTATACAGGATTTGAATTGTAGTTGTATATTTTCTCTTCTGGTAAACTTTGAAATATTTAATAATTTTCTATTGATTTAATGTAAAAGTAAGCACTTTAACCGTGTTTTTGATAAAAAGGAACTTAGGACTCACAATACATGATACAGTACATTCTTATGTTTGAATGATTGTAGTGAAGTAGAGAATGAATTCATAGGATAGAACTAATTAGTGATTTAATTAACAAACATTTTTAATTGTGTTGAATTTTGACTAATTGTGAAGTAATATGTTGTTTTCATTCCTCTTATTTTCTAATATTTTTATACATTATAAAATTTAGATATTGGTTTCTAGAATTTAAATCTGTTTGTAAATATAAGGGATCCTCTTACAAATTGAATCGATGAATTATTGCATCATCATTGCATCAACATGTTTAAAAGATATTTTCTTGATGCTGTGTAGGTGAGGAATGTCGGAAGATGTTTCAAGAGAAAACTCAAGAGAAGAAGGTGGAGTCTGTTCAGCCAGTTGGACTAGAACATGATGAATCTTCATCAGGTGCTACAGACAAAGAAGACGGATCACGTCGACCAGTGCTGCCTCAACCTGCATTGCGGAAGGGTACCACTCCCCTCTCAGAGGACTTAGAAGGGAGAACGTGGCCTGAAAAGGACATAGTTGCATTGAAGAAAGAACATCCATATGGGAGTATTTCTTCTGTAGGTCATGAGTATCCGGACCACCGTTACCCACCACCTCGCCGAGGTGAATTTGCTACCCCTAGTTCCAGTACTAGTGACTATGGAACCGGTCAGAGTGACACATACTCAGAACGTAATTATTCAGCAAATGCAGTGAACAAAGAATCTTCATACGCAGGCAGTGCTGGATATCACAGTGCGGCTAGCTCTAATCATTCAACTCCAATTGCCTACGAGTATCATAATCATTATCCGCCTACTCCACATTTGACACATTCTGGTCATTATCCTCCTCCACCATTTCATCCGAGTATCCCTCCTCCATCAACCCATTCACATCAGCATCAACATCCACATCATCATCATATTCGACCACCTCCAACGGCACCTCCACCATTCGTCCATGCTCCTCCTCCCCACGGCATCCCAACACACATGCCCCCACCCTCCTTGCACCCACATTCCCTTCCTCCCCCACTTCATTCTTCCTCCACACAGTGGCAGCAAGCAGCATGGTCAGACTCTCAATCTCATGTGCCAACATGGGAGCAGTCACAAACTCGAGCTACTGCCTTGAGACAAATACCAGTGCATACAGGATCAGGTACTGTGACAACTTTACCACCTGCAAATGCTACACCAACTTGGACTCCTATATCAGGGGAGGGACGTGGCATAGTTTTCTCTCCTGAACGACCTGCAGGGAAGAAAGAAAGCAAAAGTGCTAATGCAAGCAGTAAATCAACAACTTCTCACAAAAGTGAAAATGCAAGTCCTGAAGTTCCTAAAATGTTGGATTTGGATACTAGAATAGAAATGTTACTTAAAGGAAAAGGAACAGGAGGCATGACCCCATCGTTTTTAAGAATGGGTATTAGCTCGGACTCCGATGAGGACTCCAAAAAGAGTAAAAGTAAGGTGTCATCTCGACGATCTTCAAGTGGTTCTTCAAAGCATGGAAGTTCACGTCATCGGAGACGAAACTCATCTCGGAGGTCAGAGAAGAGGTCACGATCAAGGACTCCCAGCAGTTCTGAAGCAGAGGACTCGCTTCCGCCACCTCCAACAACAGGGCCACTCTCCATCCCTTTGCCTCCCACAGTGGATGAAGATCCACTTCCTCCACCACCTCCAGAAAATGATGATCCAGAAGAACCATTATCTGTTCCTCCATCTCCGTTCTTGTCAGAGGAACTATATCTTCAATGCCATAGAATGGCAATAGAACAGTCCAAGAAAGCTCGTGAGAAGGAGAAGCAAGAAACCTTAGGACTTCTGGAAAGTGTGAACATGACAAAACATGTGGAGAATGATGATCTTGGTAGTATAATTAGTAGTAGCGAAGATGAAACATTGACTGCTGAACCACCAAAGGCTGAAGACGGTTTCAGTAGCCCAAAGAAAGAAAGCAGTAATGAGGAGACAGATTTGGGTCCTCCAGGTTCATCTTCAAAAAGCAAGATGCCCATATCCATGCTATCAGACCTTCCCCCTGGGGTAGATCCAATGGATCATCATCAGGATTTGGCAAGCCGGCGCTCCACCCCATTGCAGGATGAAAATGATGATCGCATGTCATTGTCCAGTCTTAGTTCTACGGGGGAGAAAATTGAAGTTGCGAATCAGCCTCCCACGTCTACTACAGCCAGCTCGAGTGTGCCGGTCACAATGTATCCTCCTCCACCATATGGTACAACTCCTTGTCTTCCTCCTACGATGGCAATTCCTCCTCCGACATATGCTCACACGCATCCTCCACCACATCCCTCATATTACCCACATCATATTCATCCACCTCCTCACATACATGCACCAGGCATTGACATTTATTGGACTCGAGCAACAGCTGTGCTTCCTCCTTTCCCTCCCATTTATTTACCCCCACCAGGATTTCTCCATAGCTCACACTTCCCTCACAGCATTACACACCTACATGGTCATCACTTTCCATATCCTCCTGGAGCAACGCGAACCATTCATCTTCCTCATCCTGGTTTGCATCTGCGGCTTCCACCTCCAGGACATGTGCATGTGGGTTCAGATCCACAAGCTCCCACAATTACGTGAGTAGAGAAGTCTTCCAAATTGTGTCAATGTTGGTAGTTTTCGTAATTTCTGCAATTCTAAATATTGTGTTAATGAAAACCATTATTTTTCTCAGTGCTGTGCTTGAAAGGGTCATCAAAGAACTGAAACAGATTCTCAAACGTGATTTTGACAAGAAAATGATTGAGAATACTGCATTCAAATCATTTGAGAATTGGTGGGATGATCAAGAAAGGAAGTCCAAGGTTATTAGTATTTTGGTTTTCTAGGTTTAACAATTTGCATGAAAATAAAAATTAAAGAAACTTTCTAAAACTCCAAAATAATTTTAATTGATTTTTCATTGTTTTACAGTTGAATTTCAAAAATTAGTATTGAAACATTTCCAAATAATTAATTGGGATTTGCTTGTACATTCTCTATATCCCTTATTTTTCTCTTTTCATGTTCAGTCTTTTTTACTACTTACATAAGATAGTGTAATGATGTGGAGGAGAATTGCTTTGGGTAGAAAATGCTAATTGGAGTGCATGTCATTTTGGTATGATGAATAAATTGTTCTTGATGCAGGGCAAAACCAGTGTCATAGAGAGTGGGGAGGGTGTGTCTGCTGTGACACCTGAAAAAGCTCCAGGCAAACAGGATTCTCTGAGTAGTCTTTTGGACACTGGTCGTGATGGCCTGGACTCAATGGGATTGGGTAGTTATGGTCTTGGCTTCAAGATGGCAATACCCAAGATGCCATCATTCAGGGTAGGTGCTTCAACATCATTTTTTATTGTCAACAGTGTAAAAGATCAACATTAATGAGTGGTTAGCTTTAAATGTGGAAGTTGTAATTTAAGTAATGATTTGTATATGTGTATAGCTTTAAGTAAGATAATTGTAAAGGTGGAAAATTTGTGCATTTAAGTATAGTGAAGTTATTTTTAAATGTGAATTTCTGTATTTTAGTTCTGGTTCTCTTTACTGCTTAAAGCTTACAATTATCAAATTTCAAAGCTTCTTTTATTATTGCGTTATTGGTAATTAAAATTTGACGTGACAACAATAAAGCATTTTTTATTATAGAATTGATAGCATTGCAGTATATATGTAAATCTCGATATGAAGTAATTTTTGTCTTTACCTTAGCTTTGAAGTTTTTCTCTGTCTTTCTGGATGATGTTTTTAAAGTTTGAGAGGCTTTAAAATATTTATTAATGCTCACAAAAAAATAAATAAGAAAACTAAACTATAATACTTACCATATTTTATGTGTCCTTAGCGCAAGAAACCACCATCTCCCTTACCTACTGATGAGGATTCTCGAAGAGAATTGGTAGAAAGTGACCAAGAAGAAATGGTACAAGCTTCCGACTCAGAGACTCAGGTTTGCTAACGATATCTAACTTGCATGCAAATGATTTAAATACAGTGAAATCAAATTGGAAGTAGTATTTCTGCTTTTTTTGAAAAAAATAGTTAGCATTGCATAAACTATCTTAAAACAGGGACACATGGATATCTTGGGAAGTTTTTAATATACTTTTTTAACTTTAGTTGTATTAGAAGCCAATTATAATAATTGATAAACATCTTAGTCATCACTCATTTTTGACTCAAAAACTAAATCATGTATTCGGTATTTTAAAATATTTATAAATATTGATGAAATATAAATAAATTTTTATCTTTTTTAGCCTGATTTGAGAAGCCCTGCATATAAATCATCAGCAAGATCTTCAAAGTCATCTTCGTCATCATCTTCATCTTCGTCTTCATCTTCATCATCAGACAGTGAAAGTAGCAAGTCTTCTGTATCTGGATCTTCTTCCTCTTCATCCTCATCTTCAAGCTCGGAGAGTTCATCTAGTGAGAGTAGTTCAGATAGTGAAGATGAAGGGGAAAGTTCACCTCATAGACGTAAACAACATGCTGCTGCCACTGCTGCTGCACCTACTGCTACTACTACTGCTGCCTCTCTGATGGATCTTGACATTGATGAATTAGAAATGATTGATTCTAGGTATGTATATGCTCATGATGATTCCTCACCTGATGTAAACTTTCCTAACTTTTTCATTGTTATTCTAGATACAATGTGTTGAATTCAGGGGACTCAAGTGAAAGCTTGGAGTAAATAATTGGAGTTGTTTGAGTTATATTGTTCTGTATTTTTATAGACAGTCAAAAAATGTTTAAGATCATTTTAAAACACATATTAAACATTTATTATCGTTACTGTCTTTCATTACACACATAAAGTTTAGTACAATATTTCAGAGATCTCCATCTTCATATTGATTTCATAAACACATTATCACTATTGGTGAGATTTGAACCATGCAGTCAATATTAAGTAGTGTTACATTGACACCAACACGTTGTGACATTTTAGAGGTTTCAAGAAGAGGTGTTGATGATTCATCCACAAAATAAAACCAAAAAATAATTGTGAAAATGTTTTTGTGGAATAAAATTTGCCTAGAGAGAGGGAGAACAAAATCTCCAAAGTGTTGTTCTAAACTTTGTGTATGTAAAGAAAGCTCACCTAGCGTTACAGGCACAGTAAAGAAAGTAAATGTTGAAATGTGTGTTTTTAAAATGATTGAAATAGTTTTTACCTGCCTATAAAATTACGAAGGTAATTTAATATCTTGCACAGAATTGTAACGACAGTCTTCATAAATTCAAATAATTGGAGACATTCACTTATGTATACAACTAAAATTGTAAATCAATAAATATCCACAAATTCACACTACACATATTCACTTATGTATACAACTAAAATTGTAAATCAATAAATACAATATTTTCAGTGAAACAAAATACCTTAAATGAAAATACAGTAATAAATTTAATTATCCTTATTTAATGAATAGCAATATGAGTTGTCCATAAATTGGAATTGCTAGTAAACCAGGGGAGGGGGGGTCGAAATTTCATTAATACCCGTTAATTACGTTAGATAATTTTGTTTTATACAAGCTTTTGTTCTTCCTCTGAAGGAACTCTTTTGCCAACACACTTGGAAAGCTTTTGTTTATGAAGCATTACAGGCACATTTGTCAGTATTTTCATTCTGTTTAAGCATGCCTGTTAAACTGTTAGTTTTGGTAAATGATTAAGTTAAATTATGTTGTAGGCTACAGTGCATTAATTTGCACGGAGTTTAGATTAAAAAAATTATATATTTTCGAAGGTAAATGAAAACTGTTTCTATAATTAGGTAGATGGATTTATTTGAACAGCAATTGTGTGTACTATAGAAGCAGTTTCTTGTGGTTATTAAATTCACATAATGCATCAGTGTTGTATTATCTAAATATGTCTTTTGATGTTCTTTGTGTTGCATTCGAAAACAATTTGTTGTTTTTGTGAAGAGAGTTGAAGGTAATTTTATCTATCTTCAAAATCAGATATTCCACTGAAGCATGTAATAAATCATTTACTCTAAACATTTTAATGAAACAGAGAGAGTCTTGCTTAAGATTTATACAATATACAGTTTTGACTGCATCTTCCTTTTTCTAGTTTTTATTGAATTTTAAAAAAAATTATGATCATTTGTTTTGTTGTTAAAAGTAGTTCTAGGCATGAATGTAAATTATATTAACTTACTCATAAATAAATATAACTACTGTTGATAGCACTTATTTTCCAAGTATGTTGTAAAATACAGTTGCTTATTTTTTTATTTGTATTTAAAATTTTCACTATGTCCATAAAATTCTGTAAGGTATATTTATTTGTAATTTTTTATCAATTTGAATATAAAACATCAAATGCAAGTAAACTATTTATACATACCGTGTCTGTGGAAAGTTTGATCATGAAACTGTTGAATGAAATTAGTTTTATTCATAGGACTTAATTTTACTTTTATTTCATTGACATGAATATTTTTTTCAGTATGTTTGTTAACATAATTCATTTTGGTTGCATAGGGCACATACACCAGATGGAAGTGTAACTCCTATTCCGGATGAGAAGGCCACTGACTTTGAAGCACCTGGTGAAGATGCTGACAATGAAGATGAAGGTGAAACGGTAACTGAAGTTAGAAAGCCAATCATGTTGGATCATGATCAGGAGGAACTCAGTCCATGGGAAAGCCCTCTGCCGTCTCCCATCCGGATCCGAGAGCCAGTGCTCCGACCTCCAACTCCTCCTCAGCCTGTTCATCCTGAAGAAACTCACAGTGAGAATTCTGCAGTAGAGGCTCTAATGGCTCTAGCTGGTGGTGAAACTCCGCACAAAACTACTGCACCAGAACGGTCTTCACCAAGTGCTGCATTGACTGCAGATGGTGCAGTGAGTTCAGATGAAGAGTCTCTTGCAGTGCGTCAGAAAAAGAGAGACTCATTGACAGTAGTCAAAAACAATTTATTAGATGATAGAACTATGTCATTAAAAGTGCAGAATAGGACAACTACAGCTGTGAATGGTGAATTAGTGCAAGAAGATCTTCTAAAGAAACTTGTGGAAGAAGAGAAATTGGCAATTGAGGGTAGGGACAAACGAGAGGGTTCACCATTGCCGCAAATTACTATGGAGCATTCATACAGCCTCCCACCTAAGACGAAAGACATTACAGAAACTCCAACAAAGCAGGAGAGCGGTAGTGGTGTTCTGCCATCACCAGCTGCAAAACGGAAAGCAAACATGGTGTCTAGTGACGATTTTGGCTTTAATCATGATTATGCTTTTAATTCTCAGCGACCATCCACTCCCCCCACCCCACTTACACCGAAGATTGAGAATGAGGTGTTACAAATGCCTAAAGCAAAGAAGCCACGGCGACGGTATGATGATGTTCTTCACTCTCCGTCTGCTGCTCCAAAAATTGCACAGGAAACAACTAAACCTATTGTGTTCCCCAAAAGAGACCTTATGGCAGAAATGACTGTGCTTTATGAATTCTTGACAAGAGGCATTGATGCAGAAGATATAACTTACCTAAGGAAGAGTTATGAAGCATTATTGGCTGATGATGCCCAAGGCTACTGGCTGAATGATACTCATTGGGTTGACCATCCAGATATCCTTTACTGCTGTTATAAAAGTTTTGCATTGTTGTAGATCACAAAATAATTGTGTGTGTGTGTGGGGTGTGATTGAGAGAGAGAGAAAAGTAAATGCTTGTTCTTAGTTTTCTTTCTCTGTAGTCTTTCTTTTTTGAGAATGATTCTTTTTTATGTTTTCTGTCTGTTTTTTTTCTCTTTCTATCTTTTTTTCAATTTATTTATTTACTCAAATGATTTAAAATACTTCCAAAATTCCCAAAATATTGAAAGATCATGAATATTTTGTTTTCAATAATGAATCACAGTAAGTGATATGAACCTGAAAACAAGTTGTGATATTGCAGCATGTTTCAGTACATTGTTTCGCATTTGTTATACATTTTTTGGATTCAAATCACTTGAAACAAAAAACCTCAAAATTTTTGAAAAAATTCAAAGATTAAAGGTTAAAGATTGCCTCCTTTGTTTTTGTCATTGCAAAAAATACTTATCTCTTGACTCTGAGAAACAATAAATTATGTGAAACTATGACAGGAAGAACACTCAAATGAGTGAAACTTGCTAAAAATGGACACTGTGTTTTATCACTGTGTTTTTTTATTCAGGATTGTAAAAGTTAAATTTTCTATTATATCCTTGTGACAAGAAATACATTTTATTATTATTGAGTTATTCTTAAAAAAATAACTTCAGCTGTTGTTATCACTGTAAATTTAGGCCCTAACTTGTAAAAGAGTATCCATTTTTCATGCAATTTATTAGGAATTTTTGGTTTAGTTTTAAATGGGATTGTCCTTAGCTTTTAATTACAAGAATTATAACAATATTGAAGTCAGTATGTGCATTTTTGGTATTTGAAGCCATTTCTGTAATGAGCTGTGCAACACATAAACGTATGGTGAATGTCCTAATCAACAGCTGGCTTTATTATAATTTATTTCTGACCTTTCATAAAATGTATCATGAGTTCTGAATCATTTGGTAATTCAAGTTTGTTATGCATTGAAACATAAAAAAATTTCAATCAGTAAATCAAAGGTAAAATTGGTTTTATCCAAGTAAAATTAAAACATTCTTGATGTATTCATTTGAGATTATTCCTTAATTGTTGGCACTGACTGACATTGCATCTCCTGCCAAGAAGAGAAAACGAGATGACACCCGATTACATAAAACAGGTAGTGCAAGAACAGAAGGCTTCTACAAAATAGATGTGAAGGAGAAAATGAAACATAAGGTAAATTTTGTGTTACTAATTTTTCATATTCGCATACTGGAAAGAGTATTTTTTTTACTTTTTTTTACTTTGTTGATAGCATCACTTTGGACAGACAATACAGCAGCAAGGTCAGCAAGAAAAGGCTATCGAGGTTACTCGACTTGGTGCAGGCAAGATGCAAGCCTTGTCTCGGGAAGCTCGCAGCAATCAAAGACGCTTGTTGACAGCATATGGTACAGACACTGATAGTGATCTCTTGAAGTTTAACCAATTAAAGGTGAGTTGTAAATTCAATTTTTGTTGTTCAATTTTCATCTCGCTATTCTTCTTATTAATCTATTTTTGTTTTGTATGTTGTTGTACATGTCAAGAAGTTCTGGCATTGTTACTGGGATAAAAGAGTTGCATGAGTTACCCCTGTAAGTTAATGTACCCCTGTAGTTAATCTTACGAAACGATGATTCTAGAAAAGAGAAGAATAGATAACCTCTCTCTCTCTTTTTTTTTTCTTTCTTTTTTTTTTACCTTAACTGTTTGTTGGCCAACGTACTTATAAATAATTTTTTTTGGTTGACATTTGTCGAGGCATTTCTAGGAAATTCTCTTTCATTAGCACTTAAGACAGTTGCCCAGGTCATCATTTGAACACTGTTACAATTGTTCAGTTCAAAGCCAATCTCAATTAATTTTTAATTAGAATATGTTCAGTGAGGCATTAGTAAGTTAACTGAAAATGTATGTCACAGTGTTGCATCAGTAGTATATTTATATGACACTATACACTTAAGTAAACAAACTAAAGTTCTTGGTATGTTTTTCAGCCCTACCAAAGCACTTCAAAGAAATATTTCTTGCCACAAATGTATTTCTTAAATATTAACAATACCTGTGTAACTGTTAAAGAACATATTCTGCACCTGGTTGATGTATTGTGCTGTCTTTAAACGTCAAAACATGACATAATGGTTTTTTTTCTTTTATATGTTTCACTAACATTTTGATTACATTTTCACAGTTCCGCAAAAAACAATTGAAGTTTGCTAAATCAGCTATTCATGACTGGGGCCTATTTGCTATGGAACCAATTGCTGCGGATGAGATGGTTATTGAGTATGTGGGACAAATGGTTCGACCTGTTGTGGCTGATTTGCGAGAACGCCATTATGAAGCACGAGGAATTGGTAGTTCATATCTATTTCGTATTGATGTGGATACTATAATTGATGCTACTAAATGTGGAAATCTAGCCAGGTTTATCAACCACAGCTGTAATGTAAGTAGTTAATTAGCAACATCTCACCACTAGAATTTATTTTAATTCATTGTACATTTTTTGTGTTAATTGTGAAAAATGGTTAATTGAACATAATTATCTATATTTTTGACTGTTGGTTTTTTCCAGCCTAATTGCTATGCGAAAATTATTACAATTGAAGGTCAGAAGAAAATAGTCATTTATTCAAAACAACAAATTAGTGTGAATGAGGAAATTACCTATGACTACAAATTCCCAATTGAGGACGAAAAAATACCTTGCCTCTGTGGGAACGCGCAGTGTCGAGGCACTTTAAACTAAGGTACAGCGTATACGTGTGGTGTAAAATCTTTTGCAAAATTGGCTCACTGAGAGACCAAATGGGGTGGGGCAAGGGGATTCTGGTGCTCTACCACCCTACCAGGTACTCTACTGAAGTGAATTAAATGTGTTAAAAGTAATTTTTTACAGGATTTTTCAGTTCTACAAGAAAGAATGTGAAGGATGTGAAATGAGAATTTTTGTAAAATGAATTAATTAGGTGCAATCTCAAGCCAGAAGACTCCCAAGGAAATAAGTCTGTTATGGGAGCCATAAGTAGGAGGGCGGTTTATAAGAATGCAACATTAGTGAAACATTTGAGTGTAATGCTTTCCAATATTCTTTCCTTAGCCTGACTTGTAGATATTTGTTAGAATGATAAGACTGTACTGTATTGTACATGTAGATTTGCTCCAGGGCACCTTCCTTGCACTGTATCTGTAAAGCTGTTTCTTTGTTGCATTCTTGCTAACTGTGGCTCCTGTAACTTTCATGTTTCATAAAATCTGATTAAAGAAGAGCTGCCATATTTGATGATCTGTATTTATTGTCATTTTAATCCTTTAAATTGTATATTAATTTCATCATTTATACATTTGTTAAATTTTCTGGACCAAACATGATCCATGTTTGAATGTAATTGTATGTGCATTCTGTGTACAGAATAACAACGATTCAGTTATGGAAGAAGTAGCAGTGTACCAGATGCAGTAGTAGGACAGAGTAATAGCATCATAGAAAAATTTTTCATGTACAAATGTTGGTATGACAGTAGGAAGTAAAACTCCTGAAAGGGTTTTCTTATCAAATACTGTTGTGGGTTGCTTTCTATTTTGGGTACCCAATTTATGTCTGCTTCAAGCTGTTTGAGTCGCATAAGTTTTGAATGCATTTTAATGCCTGTCAGACAGACAGACCTGTTCACTCTACAGATTTTTCAATGGACTAGGATTAGCTCGCAATATTGATTATTTTCAAGAATGTTTCAAGTGAACAGCATAAAGTTTCATACAAAACTATGTTACTCAGCAAATCATCATTTGAATTGTAAGTTCTTCTCAGATATCGGTGATTCATTTGACAGATAAGACTAATAGCCTTCGCTGTATCTTTTAATGACTTCTTCAGCTGAAAGTTTGGGTTGATACTGGAATGTTGTGTAAACTCATCAAGTGGCACGCTGTGTGACAAGACAGGTTGTGTTGATATGTTCATGTTGTCTAAGTACAGTAGGATAGTGCTGAGCCACATGACATCCTTGGATTAGCACTTTGCTGAGACTGCTGGACAAACTCAAATCAATGCTAGCAAGCATGCAACTGTATGTGTGTGCAATTGCTTGCATGGGTATATTTATAGTCATTTGTATCCATTTCCTCTCCTGGCTGAATACTTTAATGTACCTTCTTGTTGACAGCACCTTGTAAATATTAAAAAAAAATAAGAATGAATTATGCAAACCATATGTCAATTTTTCATAAAATCTATTATTTGTAAGTAAATCAAATTCTTTTCCATTTATTTTAATGTTTCACATTCACTTATTCTTTTTTATGTATAAATAACATGAAGAAACAATTGTTAAAAAAAGAAAACACTTGGTCTCGAAATAGGCTGAGAATATTTCTAGAAACTTAAGGTAAATGTGTTAATTTTTTAAGGAGAAGTGCAGTCCTTGTGTGAATAGTGTTCGTACAATGGTACAGTTTATTAGTTTCTTGCTGAGAAGTGTAAAAAAAAAAGTGATATTTTCTGATGACATTCACCATAGAAAAATAAACACAGTTTTATCTCTGTAGGCAAATGAAAATTATGTTTCTGCTTCTAATTGAAAAGCTCCAGTCACAAAATTGTTTATATTGAAGTAGATTTTGCATTCCAAATGTTTTTGTTATCCTTATTGCTGAAGATTCTTTTGCCAGCTTTGATAGTGGAAAACAATATGGTGTGAAAGTGTGAAGCATGAAATGTGATTTAGTGTACAAATTTTATTCTCTTCTAATGGGTGAGACTAAATGGTTGCTGCAAATTAGTCTTTGGACTGCCTGATTAGTTGTGATATCCAGTCTTGCAGGGCTGACTGATAAGTACCAAATTTGTGAGCACGGCAAATGATTGTTTGATTCATGTATTGCGTGAATAAATAGATGGACACCTCTGTTATGCTCTTAGGAATGAAGAGTCCATCTGTTTATTCAGCATGGGTAAATGTATTTTTATATGTCGACCTTAAATACAAGAAATGGTTCATGCCAAGCAATTATGAACAAGAGCATTCGTCATTTCCTCATTTTTTAACACATTAAATGTTCAGATACGACTGAGGATGGAACAGCTTAAAAAAGAAGACTAATCATTTTAAGGTGGTTTTATTTTGACATATCAATCATTGGAAACATTTGAACTGCAGAAGCACAGCCAAACAAAAGCTTAGGTCTACATGCCAATAAACAACATATAAAAATATCACAATGTTGAAGTTGCTGTGAACAAACGTCCATTCCATATGTACTTCTAGGATTCCTCCAATGGTACATCAATTCAAGTAGAGGAAAAACATTCCCAACAGGGTAATGAATAAGAGACAGTACCTTAATTCTCGTTCTTTAGCGAAGTATGTAGATCATGTTATGCTACATGTAAACTAAGAACTCTCCCACATTAAGGCACTAAGGCTCTACATATTCAGTGAAAAATTTACCACACACGTAGTGATTCACGTGTCCAATAAGGCATAGATGTAAGTACACAGTTCATCCATCTGATGTTTAATCACACACGGAGGGTAAAAAGAAAAACTATTCAAAATAATTCACATCAAATCTTCATGGTGGGATATTAACATTAGACTTTCCAATACCATCAGCTTGAAGATGTTGCATGTCCAGCTGACTTTGAGCAATGTCAGCTAATGCAGACTGAATCTGTTCCAGGAGGGCTTCACCCCGTCGGACCACTTCTTCAAGACGTTCACCTGCTTCACGGTTATCCTGTTCCAATCGCCGTAAACTCTGAACCTTGAAAAAAGGCAAAATACACACTACTTGCTTCTGATCAACATATTTGTCACAAAGGTAATACACATCATTTCTACCTGAAGTTCTGTGGAAGAGTCTTCATTAGGAAGAGAGTCTATGAGAACATCTATGTCTTTAGCACATCTTGCTATTAATGTAGCAAAAAGATGGGCGTAATCTAAAAAGGAAATAATGGTGTTTCGCAAGAACATACAAAATTGCTAGCTACTACATTTCGTCAACCACTATCAGTAATAGAACTAATACCTTCTTGTTGCTGCTGTTGTTGTGGCGTTTGAGAACCGCTTCGGTCAAATCCTGAAAACTTACTGGGAGTGGAATATTGTTGTAATATGCCGATGCTGTTGCAGAAATGATCAGCTTGCTGAAATATCAAACGATAATATTATAACAATCAGGAACATTTTTACGCCAGGTGAAAAATTTGCGTTACCTACCTGATTTATTGTATCCTGAAGCTGAGTTAATCTGTCAGCCATTTCAGTCCAACGTTATTTCTTCAACCCCCCTAAAAAAAACTTCACGTTGTTGATTTTGTGTCAGAAAAACAACCCGACGAACGATTAGGTTATGATTTGTTGTACTCGTAAAAAGACGCCGGAAACGTAGTGCAACTAATGTAATAAATGTTTCGTCGTAACACTAGTCATAGATTTTACGTTGAAATAATGTTGAGTTTATTTAATTGTTGTATTAATTACTAATTCATTCTACTTAAGTGATAAGTTTGTAATTATAAAAATTTGTGTTTTGACTATACAGCCTGTATACTGAGAAACTCGCTCTGTGGCACAATCAGTATTGCGCCATGCGCGTGCTGGTAGATTTTGGATAGTGAGCGAGCCTACGCAGAAGTTCTCAGATTTTGCCGGTAGGTGTCGCAGCTATCGCCCTACCAGCATTTCGTTTCCGGATCCTCTTCCAATACGTATTGGGGTAGCTTCAGCGTCGGTTGCGTGTGCACGTTTCGTGTCTTACGACTTAAAGGTGAGATTTCATGTTTTAACTGAATTTAACCACTTTTCAGTTTTTGGAACTATTGTACAATATTTCCGCAAATGTATATTGTTACGGGTACTATTAATATAAAATTTTGTTTTAATTTTAAATGTTCTACCATGTGGTCAGGCACGTGGGTTGTATTTTCCTAATGTAAATTCATTGGACGCGCAAAAGTTTTCATTAATTCAGTAGTTTCAATTCATTTAGTAATTTTTCACAATGGCGTAATGATGATTTTAATCTTTCGGGTATGATAAGGAATGATTCCACAGTTCACTGATGCCATTGTTTTAGCACATGTGACTAGTATTACTTTCGCTTACCACTGCTGAACTTTATTTGTTCGTGGTTTTTATTTGCAGAATGCGTTACGTGGCCGCATACCTCCTTGCTGCCCTTGGGGGTAAGGACAACCCATCGTCGGCTGATATTGAGAAGATCCTCAGTTCAGTTGGTATAGAAGCTGATGGTGAAAGACTGAAGAAAGTCATTGGAGAACTCAATGGCAAGAACCTAGAGGACCTTATATCTAAAGGTATTTGTGAAGTACTACGCTAAATTTTTATTTTCTTAAAAATGTAATTGTGAAAATCTATGATGTTAACATACCATCTTTCGAATGAGCATTGATGATTCAATAATTTGTACTGAGCATAAATGTACTGTTTCCAAACTTTAAGAGGTTTGGCAAAGTGTTCATGTGTGTGGTTTCTAGGTCGAGAGAAATTGGCATCTATGCCTGCTGGTGGTGCTGTTGCCGCAGCAGCTCCAGCTGGTGGTGCAGCACCAGCTGCCGCTGGTGGATCTCCTGCAAAGGGTAAGTTTAGGAATATTTAATTGAAATATAATGGTTCATTGGAACAATATTATTAAAGTATTAAATCCTCTAGTGCGGAGGGTTGTTTGTACATTTAGTGATGAATTTCAAATAACACCATCTTTCGACTGAAGTAATTTGATTGGAAAGCAAAAACTGATTACTCTTGATAAATTATAGTGAGTTATGTGATTTTACAGTGTTTTAAAATTTATTTTTTATTTACAGAGGAGAAGAAGCCAGAAAAGAAGGAAGAATCGGAGTCTGAAGATGATGATATGGGCTTCGGCTTATTTGATTAAAGAATTTGTTGCTGGTATGTCGCGACTTCAAAAATATGGATTTTCATTTGCAAATATGTCCAAACAAGAATAAATGCCTTCTTGGGCAAAACATCCTTTAAATTGATTGACAAAATATGAATTTAATTTTTGTACAGTAATGTGCTGAAGGTTGTTTAAACTTGTAATACAATGATGAATTTTCAAAACCATCTTTCGACTGATAATGTGATTGGAAATACAAACTGATTTCTCTTCATAAATTTTTGTGATTTATTGATTTTATTAGGTTGTGAAATTTATTTTTATTTACAGAAACCAGTCTGAAGATAATGGGCTTCAATGTATTTGACTAAAGCATTTGTTGCTGGTATGTCATTTACCAAAGATGAAAAGATGTAAATGTTGGTCAATAAAAGAATTAAAACCTCTGTGCAAACTTTTGAAATGTTAATACCCAGCAAATATTCTCCATAGCATTCCAGGAACTAGAAACAGACCAAATTGTTCAACTTTTATTTTATATAAATAAAAACTATTTGAACCTAAACTTGTTTTGTTTTTTACCCCTCCTTTAAGTATAGAAAAGGATGAAAAGCAAAAATTAACATAGTGAATTATATGCACGAACAATATGAAAGTAAAAGTTAAGTCGTGAGAAAAATAGCTTTTATGAACCACGTGAGTGGTCTTTTCGAGTAGTACGTGCATCGCAGCTGAAACATCAATATCTGCCTGTTGTCGTGCGCAGGTTGCTCATGTGGCACTTTACGTCACTTAAAATCCTTCCGCGAACTATTAAATTCATAATCTGAAATAAAGTAGGTCGTTAGTTCAATTACAATGCAGTCTTAAGTTAATTAATTGTACGTTTCAATATTTTTTGAAACCTGTAGAGGGCATTAGTGAGGTGTATTTTCTTGAACGCGGTCGGATACCGACACGAGGGTTTCAGGGACTATTTTCATTCCGGTAGTGGGAAGCCATGTTGGGTGGTAGTGAATGGTACACTCAGTTGTGAATGTGGTGTTCAGTCGTTGGTTAAGTGTCTTTCAGTTAACTAAAATTGGTGTAAAGCAGCTTTCCATCCTGGAGTTCAAGAAAACCTAGCCATCATGACGCAGATGTTACCAATACGGTTCCAGGAGCACCTACAGGTACTTAACAAATTTTGTTTGACGCCCTTTCCTTTAGTACTATTGAAATGCCGGACCGTAAGGTAGCTTACTTTTGCCAATATTATGCAGTGAGAATTTATATTCTTTTAGAATTAAGTTCTCTTATTGTTACTAGAATCAATATATCGCTAGGACCATTCCGTGTTGCGAAAGAGATGGGAGTGAAATGTTTATCTGTGACAGCTAAGGTTTTCCCCATGAAGGCCTATGACCTTACGGTTTTTTAAACCTAATAATTATAAAAATGATAAATGGTTTTAAATTATACTGTAAGAAACATCTTTTATTTTTTTTAACATGAAACCGGTCATGCAAGTAAATTTAAGTGCGAGGTTAATTTTTGAATGATCTTTTATATGTAGTAATATCCTTTCTAGACCTAGAGATTTACCCTGTCATGTTTTTGGGGACTTGTTAAACTTCCCGTGATTTCAGTTGTAGCTTGTGCGGTGACGTTTCATAGAAATTCTTTCGTCATGCGTTATCTTCAAAGTAAAGCATGGAGTGACATTTTGATAGGAATTATAGGTCATATTGGATGCGAAATAGCTCGCCTTTTCTGGTTACTATTTAACCATAGGTTGGAGAGGTGAGGGGGCTGATAAGTGGAGAACTTTCCCCGTGGACCGCGCTTGCTTGGAAGCACGCGTTCCTCTGACTGTGCAGTAGCAACAACGGCCACGTAATTATTCTATTGCGCCCTATTGCCAGAGCTCCGGAGGGCTTCGGATTCACACCGCTGGCTGGCCAGGGCAGGGGGGGTGGTTGGGTGCCCGAGCCGGGACCGCCTTCCTGCCGGTCGTAAAACAAAGGCTGTGGCCCGAGAACCCCCTCCCAGAGCAGCGAGGCGGTTGCCCTCGCAGGAAGCAGGGACAGGTCGAGGGGCGTTCAGACGAATCCTACCATGACCGCGAGGTCCGGTGCACGCCGCGCTGGGCACGCTTGCCGACAGGGAATATACCATGGTTGCTCTAATATCTTAGAAGTAGCACCAATAAATTCGCACCATCTTACACAATTTGGACAATTTTGGTAGATGCATTTACCCCACCAATCAAAGTATTCGTATAAAGTAACTTTGTGATTAGCAAGATTGACTAGTGCAGCAATCGTTAGATTACAGATAAGTTGCGATTAAATTTTTTAGAATGGAGTAATATTTGGTGTCTTGAAGGCAGTCATAGGCGAACTTCTTAGGGCTTTATTCTGCGCATATTGCTCGAACATCTGCAGGTTAAACCTTGCTTCACGCCTCTTCCCGAACCAAAGTGCCAACATACTGCTTATTCGAGGCAAATGCACTAATTTCAGTGGTTTCCAGATCCCAACGTGCATACATGTTGGTTTTGGATTTTCTATTCTTTAACTCTTAATGCCTGTGAATGTGTTAGCGATAATGAACACTCAAGGGTTAAGGGATATTTCTATTTTGCAGAATGGTCATTCTGAATTACCGAAGGCATAAACTGTGAGGCTGCATAAATGTTCTTTGTATAAATTGTGGCATTTGATCCATCTCCCTATTAATTCATATCGTAGATTGTGAAGAAATATATCCCTAGCATGCATGGAATTCCAATAAGCTGGTAGAACATAACGCTGTATTATTCGTTGGTTTCTGCTTAGAACCACAACTAATCGGTGCTTTCTGATATTCAGCGGGCGACCTCTAGTTTTGTTCATCCCTGTCGTTGACGTATATTGCGTGACCTTCACCTTAATAATTACGCCTAAAGAGAGATCAAACTTGATACTCTAAAGCATTTGGATCGAAAGTGTCTCTCGTGTGGAATGTGAAGCTTGCATTTGACGAGCTGCAGAATTGAAATTGTTGAGCCTTTGGGCAGAACTTCTTTGGTCAGAAAACTAACGTTAGAAGAAGCATAAACGCTAAATTTAGAATATAGATGAACCACCACCTTATCTTTGTGCTCGTTGGATCAAGGAAATACGAACCGGAAACCCGATCAGTAGAGGCATGCCTTACCCAGTTGCCATAGAGAATTTGTATTAAAAGAAAATATTCAAACAAAAGGAGCATTGAAAAAATTATTTATTTGAATATGTATTCAACAGTGAAGTTAATATCCTTGGCTGATTTGTTAAACGCATGTGTTTTCACAAATGTCGATCTTCATGAAAGGAAAACAAACTGGAAATTGGAAACCATTTGGATTTTCTTAACTTTAATACAAATTTTTCCGAAGATTTGGCTACTAAATTTTAAGTTTGACATTTCCATGGCGACCTTCGTATTAACAACTCTGAGAAGTACTTAAGTTAACTTTTAGCCCACTTTAGTCATTCATGCTAGATTGTATTGCGAAGTATTTGTCTGTAATGTCTAAAACCACAATTTATAAAATGAGAGCTTTGCAATGTTGCCAGTTTTAATACGACTCCTAAAGTATTGTTGAATGCTGTATTTTTTTCTGGTCGGAATTGTGCTGACGGAATCATTTACGTATTTGAGGGTTGGAAGTGAAAGCTATTGTGGCATGTGAAGTGTTCTGTGAACGATAAGTTTAATATAAATCGTGCAGAAGGTGGGAAGAAGCAACGATCATTGGTTACTAGGTACTTGCTAAAGAATTTTATACAAGAATCTAGCTTACTGACTCATAACTAAGAGAAATTTGAAGAAAAATGAAAGAATTTTTATGATATTACTGCAGAGACTCGTGAACTCAGGAAATCCATTGAACAATATAATAATGAATGGAAAGATTTTGCGGAGTCCTACTTGGGGGTAGACAACCTCGAATCTCGTTCAATGATGACTGTTGGACAGAATGTTCTTGGCATGGTAGAGTAGTGACCTAAGTGGCCCTGTATACTCGCAGTTCTGGCGATATACCAAGAAAAGCATGTGTAAAGTAATGGTAAACGAATCTCCTTGTGTCAATTCTGGAGAAAAAAACTTTTCCTAGATTCTCAATTGCTTCCATGGCTAAAATTATATTTTTTTATTTCATATAAAGGCACGTGTGTTATACCTAAGCTTCTATTGCATACTAGTCGGGACTTTGCCCTGAAAAGTATTTGACGGTTTTAGATTGCAAAATAAGACGAACGTTTGAGTTACTTGACCGAATTCATAAGAATTTAAATTTGTGGCAGATCTAAAATGTTATGGAATGGGCGTTTAGAAAAGAGACCGCAAGTGTTTGGTAAAATGTTTGCGTTCTTTGATATTTTTTGTTGAATTGGATGATGGAAACCTTTCCTCAAAAACTTTATTAATGCGTGGCCGATGGGTCGTATGGGAGTCATTTTCATTATTTTCGGCGACGTTCCTCACTACTAGTCACGCGTTTTGCGTAAGTTTTACTTAGAGGTCGGGCTTGAAGTTTCAATTGGAAAAATATTAAAACTGGCCGACTGAACTATCTTATCTAGTAAGAACAATGAAACGTTGCACTTTTAAGATTTTGAGCTACCACTGAATCCAGTTCAAAGAATTCTTTGCAAAGCGCGCGAAGTACATAATAGTAAACTTGCCTTTTGAGACTGAACAAAAATTGGGATTTGTGGGGAATATGCTGGAAATTAGGAAGACGAATTGTGAAACAAGAAATGATCAAAAGGGTAAATCAAATAACAATTTGTAATTTTATTTCCATAAAAATAAACCAATCGTGGTCTGAATTTGTTTCGTGGCAGGTTTCTATACCAGACGCCTCATTTGGTAGCCTCCTCAGAGCTACGTAATATCCTTAAAAATAAAATCACAAAAAATCAGTTTTATTCTTTTGAAACATCTTGTGCAAGCGTAGGACAGAATGAGAATGACGATGTTTCGATGCAGATGCATATTATTTTACACACACAGAAAATAGCTTCTGAACAGATAACGTCTTTCCCTGATGTAAATCTCTCAGCGGAATTGTCATTTTTCCATAATTGGTTAACATGTTAATCTTACTAGTCTAAGAAGGCTATTATTAATGCTTCAACAGGCTGCCATTCCCTGTTTCTGGGTAAACGTAATATCTTTGGATTGTGAACACGTCTGAATTTGATTTTGTGGAAAGTTAATTCTTCAGCGAGGCTTTGGAAAACTTGTCCTGCGCGTAGGCTGGCAATTATTTAAAAGATTCATTCTTTTAAACTTTTTGCATTCTTTAAGCATAAAACGGAGTCTGTAGTGTGTATCATAATATTAACAAATGCTAGAAAACACGAAAGAAATGAGGCGCACAAAAATATGGAGGGGGAGTGGTGTTTGTCCCAGACCCTATCAAGTTTTTTTTGGGTTTTGGTTTCTTGTCAAAGGATGTTTCTTGTCGTTCGTATACATAATTTTGTTGTGCCTTTTCACATTACCCCATACAGTAGATTCGGGACATGCCGTACATCATCCTATTGTACTTACTGATTTA